GTAAAACCTAGGTTTTGGAGGGGGGGAACAACAAATATATATATATAGGTATGTGTATGTGTGTATATATATATATGGGTATAGTATCTTTAAGATATGTGCAAAAGCTGTGTCTGTATTGCAGAAGCTATGAAACCTGGAAACTCTTAAAGATATACTGATACTATAGCGATATATATATATATATATTTATTTATTTATTTATTTACATAGCTACAGTCATTGGTAGAAGACAATTACAGTGGTAGTTACTTGGCACCCCTGCTAACTTGTTATTTCATGAAGCGCTTCGTTTACGTAACACCTATCTGGGACATGTCGTTCTTGCGATTGCTGCTGCGCTTGTTTAACTCCAGGCTTACACATCTATCTACGGACATATGCATACAAAATTGGGTTAAAACTCATATATAAGGGACTGCGTATGTATGAGTTGGTGTCTTGATTGTTCTTGATAGTTGGGCGGTCAGCAAACTGGATGAGCGAGGTAGTTAGGCAGATGCTGGGCTCCTTAAAGTGCACGGCTCCCTTACTCAGCTCGTTCGCCAAGCTGTAACTAGCGCGCGGGGATTCGCGAGTCGTGAGCCAGCGATGTAGAGAGCCGGCTTGTCAAAGCGCAACTAGTGAGCTTGTATGAACAATCACAGTTCTTTCGTTCGGGTAAGAGGGCAGGTTGATACAGAATCACCTTTTCAGGCACCACACAAATGGGCCCGGCCTACAAGGCCTGACACGATATAGAGGAAGAGCAAACCGACGGGTATCAAGCAGCAGATCGCCGATGTGCAGTTACAGATCATCCAGCCACAAATACCACAGCAGCCCTTGCACCAGAAGCCTGCCCAGGCAACTGGACTCACAGTTTCTTTGCAATGTACTCAGCGCGAGCAGCTCGCACATCTGCATGCGTCTCAGCTCAGTGGCAGCAAAGACATCTGCAGTAGGCAAAGCAAGCGATGATGGAAGTCCAGCACAGCCTTGCAGGTACGTTGAACAATCCCTGGTCCGGCGAATCCTTGAAGCACGCCGGGTGGCTCAAGAATGCAGACTAGAAGGTCCACGCTCGTGAAAGTCATAAGCACGAGGATATCGAAACCTTGGGGCGAGACGCCTGCACTACACTCACTACACCTCCAAGAAAAAAGCATTCTTGAGACAGAGGGAAGGGGCAATGCCGGTAGGTCATCCAGCGAAGCTCGAAGACGTAGTAGCAGGCAACACTCGGGTGTGGCAAATGGATTTCGCCTCCACCCTGGAGCGGCCAGGTGCCTGCAACAGCTCCAGAAACAGCAAAAGCTGCGACTGCAACACTTATGCCGACCTGTATCGATTTCTTCATGCACCAGCTTTCTGAAAGCATGCAGTTCCGTGAAGAAGCGATATGCCAGACCGACCTGAGATATCCGTGTTGAATGCTGCGGACCGTACCCTGATGCGCCGGAGTGCTGCAATCCACACCGCCAGGCCCATCATCACGCAATACAAAGGTCCTAAGCTGGCTGTCCGAAGGCTCGCAAAGGGGAGCCCCTACAATCTCAAAGAGTCAGAGCGAGACATGCTCACAACCACCACATTTTCAACCAGCGCCTTCTCCCCTTGAGCGCTTGGCAGGTGAAACACAATCTACACGATGGTACAAAGAAAGCTTTTCCTTCCCTGCATCAGAAGTTCACACTCAGGATTCGGTGGTTACCAGAGTCCGCAATGAGAAGCTGTCTCGTGGATCGCAGCAGTTCTACAGCAGTCGGCCGATTCAGCTGGTCGAGCTTCGGGCCGTGGTCACGGCCAAAGACGAGCTCACCTGTGCTGGCACCTTGTCTCCAACGGAGAACCCGATGGTTGAAAGTGTCGGCGACCAGGAGATCCCCGTTGAAATCCAAGGTAATGCCTCTTGGATAATTCAGCTGATTAAGTTCTCTCCCACGGCCGTTGCCACCGGCCACCAACTCCCCCCTGCTCGATCCGGGCATCCACTTCAGGATCCGGTGATTGCCGCTGTCGGCGATGAAGACGGCACCGTCCGCTTGCGTGACAATCCCAAAAGGCCGATGGAGCCGAGACAAGTCCTGCCCGACTGCTGCTTGGTTTGACGCCGCACCGGCCACAATCCTTCTAAGCGCACCCCCTTTCCAAACACACTGGACAATGCAGTGGTCATAAGCATCTGCAAACAGAAGACTGCCATCCTGTTGCAGGGCTATCCCTGAAGGAAGACAGCCGTCTGCAATTAGTGTCAGACTCTGGTCCTGGAAGGATCCAAGGTGCACCCCACTGCCGGCAGTCACGATGACAGATCCCAGGCCCGCTTCTGAGAAGGTCACATCAATCGGACTGAACCAAGAATGTGTGTTCGGACCACCAAGAACCGCAGACACTGTTGCGGGCCCTGAATACTTGAGCAGGCGGCAGTTGCCGCAATCCGCGACAAAGACCGATCCATCGTTTGCCACAGTCAGGCCGACTGGCCGACAGAGCTGGTCTAAGCGTGCGCCACGCCCTCTTCCTCCAGCGAAGACCTCCGCGTTCGACGCCCTTCTTTTGGCCATCTTGTTACTAATCATGTCAGACACAAGTGACAGCAAGATTGATCGGGGCATTTTCGGGGGCGGCGGACGCTGGCCGAGGGCTTTGGCGAGAGCCATGTCATCTTTTGCAGAAGGGGTCAGTGACTCCAGTACGTGACTCAGGTCGTCACGGCGGGCTCGCTCTGCTCTTGAAGACGTCCGCGCAGATGACCAACCCAATGCACTGAGCAAGGCATCGTCATCGGAAGCTGTACGCCCTGTTCTGTCAATACTTTGCAGCAATCTGGTCAAGGCGGCGCTCTTCTGTCCTGACTTTGGCCGTGGTGATGCCAGAATGTGGGAGAGGGCCACATCGTCGCGAGATTCTTGGAACCTTTGAGGCGTCGGTGGATGTCTGGCAACGCTGGATGACGTTCTGCACGGGCCTGCCCATTGTCCAGGAATGGGGTCCAAGGCATCATCCAAGATAGCCTTCAAGAGCCTGTCGTCCTCGCTGCGAGCCATGTCAGCCTCCTCCTGCACGGAGAAGAGGGTAGGAGAGCTGCGTGAGCGCAGGTGCCGAGAAGACTCATCCTGGCGTCTCTGCCGGAATGATGGAGCCAAGATTCGCATTGGAGCCCAAAACTCGGAGGCGGAGGTGTCTGGTGGCAGCGTGCGAAGCGAGTCCAGCGACGGTGACGGTGCGCATGCTGCGTATGGTGGTGGAGGGCCTGGCGGCAGGCTCACCGCAAAGTTGCTCGGAGGTGGTGGGGGGTTGGGGGGGCCTGGCGGGGCTGGTGGAGCTGCGGTGCTGAAGAAGGACTCCAGAACCAGGTCATCACCTGGCGGAGCCTTCGGTTGAGAATCTCCCAAGAAGGACGTCAGCAACGCGTCATCTTGCACTTGTTGCACTGGGCTGGGAGCAAGAAAATCGCGCAGCAAAGCGTCATCAGCTGCCGGCGGCGGGGGCGCCGGTGCATACATCGTTGGGAACCATTTACATGATATCGGCTCTTCCCGCCCAATGCAGGGGAACCCTCGGTCTGCTTAAGCCGACTACCGACTGCCGAGAATCGCGCCACTCACAACCTGCCCTGAGCCAGTCCATTCACTTCCACTACACCCCTGTGCGACGGCGGCTGTACGGCTTGGGCCAAGGCCCACGAAGCGCTTGTAGCCCATGGAGCCGACTCGAAAGAGCCCCCAGCAACGACGCCCCAGCGGTGCCACGTAGAAGACACTCATCACCTCAGCCGCGCTTTCCGCTTCTCTCCGCTTCTCTTTAGGCTCGCTCCAAGCAAGTGCTCAGGTGGCAACCCCGACGGCCAAGAAATTCCCGATTGCATAGACCTCAGAGTAAGGGGCCCTGGTGCAAGACCTCCTCGAGTGTGGTGCAACGTCGCCGACCGACGAGCGTGCGCAGAACCGTCGCTGACAAGTGCACGGAAGCATACTACTGCACCGCATGCCAGTAGTTCATTACCGGCAAAAGGCTACCTCACCAGGGTTTGGCCCTGGTGCTGGTGCCGCACTTGACGAGCTGAGGTCCAGGCGAAGAAGTTGACGAAGACGCTCTTCATTCCTGTAGATGCACGCAAACCGCCAAAAGCTCTCTCGCAGCATGTGCTTTAGCTGTCCTACTTCTCCTACCAGATCACTGCCGAGATATGCCGAGTCCTCGGGACAACACCTGTGGAAGCGTAGCGAACTGCGTCTTGAATTCGGCCAAGTGAACCCCACATGTCTCAGCCAACATCCACTGAAGGTAGATGTATGGCGGCTCCTGCACAGCTCTCAGGTGCTTCTTAGACCCAGGCTCAGGCCACGTCTCCTTGCCCACTTCTCCCACATCCGAGAAATCTCGGATTTCTGTCGGCAGGCAATCAGGATCAAATCCTGACTGTGTCACCTCAAGAGAACCAAACCAGGCGCTGGGCTCAAACTTTGTGAGGAAAGCCGCCCTGGGCCCATGACATTGGCACACAACAAAGGCACCTCGCACAGGAACAGTCAGGGGACACACAAGCTTCTGTCGTTCGCCCACCTCCTGAGCCCTACCCAGCACCACTGCGAGGAGCGCAGGCCAGACTGGCCATGCCATCTTTGAGTAATCGAAGACTGATGCCTACACATTCCCTCGCTCGATCTTGTTGTGATGGTGTCGATACCGTGCTCTGCTCGTTCGCTTGCTCCGACAACTCACAACGAGTCTGACTTTGTCATCCAAACTGGGATTGGCCAAAACAGCAACTCAAGCCAAAAGGCCAAGCACGCCTGAAGCGCGGCCGAGTCTTCTAAAGCCCTTGTGTATCAACAAGGTGCCGGGTGCCCTTGCATTAAGAAGCGGCAATGCAAAGTGCGACATTCTCCTGGCGGTCGAATGGAACTTCTGGCCACATGCATCAGCTTCGAGGAACGAGGCTGCACCGGAAGCATGACACCCGATTCAGATTCACGGCCCAATATTTTGCTGCTGTGCCTCAACGACTGAGAACACTGTATTTGTGACATTCGAGATTCATCGTCACTGAATACCACTGACTCGTCCTCGAATCTAAGATCTAAAAGACAACTGTGCTTATAGGCTCCAGTCGGAAACGCTGCAAAATGGCTGGACAGAGTGTTGCACGGAAGTGACATGCCCATCATGCTCATGCGAACCCATTCCTGTCCCAGCCGATCCACATGCAGGCAGCAAGCAGACTACTGTACTCATGCTCCATATGAGCCACCAACTATGCGAGCAAAAGGTCTGCGCAGAACCATGACTAACACCCAACCTCTGTTGCGACGGCGGGATCGTCCTCGAAAACTATGTACTGTGCCTTGCGCAGTTGGCGCACATCCGAGTCCGTCATCAAAGCGTGGATAACAAGTAAGGGTGACAAGACAGGGCCTCACCCTCCTGATCGAGCAAGTTGCACACGGTGCGCCCAATCATGTTGTAACCTTACACAGGACCCCCCACAAGCCCACAGACCCAGTAACCTGGAAGTGCCATGACAGTAGGAGAGTACCAAGTCCCTGGCCACATATAGCAACGAAGCCGTCTCCGCTCTTGGTGATCTTCTGAACATCGGCAGCTGCTCGCTGATCTTGCCTTCAGCTGGCGGGGGCACCGAAAACCACTGCACAAGTCTACACTCAAGCATCGTGCCCCTCCAGGTTTCGCATACCCCGTCGCTGTCGAAGCCTAGCAAGGAACAGCTCCAGGCCAGCACGGTGAACAAATAGACTCGCAAGGCGCAAAGCTTTGCACTGCTCCGCAACCTGCGTGCCACCCCATCTGCTCCGGCCGCCAGTAGAGGTGTCACCGCCATGGAAATCACGGAAGTTGTCACCTGCCCACCGGGCAGACCGGGCATTTCTTCCACTCAGCTCTTGTGGTGGGCTGAGCGCTCAGCAAGAATAGTCGCCTGCATTCGGCACCGAATGAAACTTGCTGTAAGAGTCACAACGGCCACCCCTCTCTGCCAAGAGACCGCGTTCGATGGCATGATGCCAACCTTACACGAGGAAGATAAGCCCACGATGGCCATGAACCCTCACAGACTCAAACACTTGCCCGAGGAGATGACGTGCTCTGCAAGCCGAAAGAGCACGAGAGCAAACTCCCCACCCGGAGCCAACAGGGCAGAGGCCTCCCAAGCCCACAAATTGACGCTCACAACAGGTCTTCCTTTCCTTGCCTGGCCTGGAGAGAGGAGGCATCGGAGAGGCCATGCCAAAGTCCCAACACGAGGACCACCAAAGCCTCCCAAGCTAGGACTACAATGAGCCTTGGTGCAACTCTCTCGCGTCTAGAAGAGATCCTTCAGCACGAGCACGGCCAGCAGCAGCGGCACCACGGTTAGCCAGTGGTGCGTCTTAGAAAGCTGGCACGAGCATGTCTTTGTTTGTCAAGGTCGCTTGTCCGATGCTACCCGCTACATGCCCTTTTTGAACCTTGGCCCCCTTGTTCGAAGGGGCCCCTGCCAGCACGGACAGGTCGAAGGAGAAGCCCACGGTGACCTTATCCAGGCAAGGAAGAAAGCATGTCCCCACCAACTTTTTTTTCTGACTCAATCGCTCTGGGCGCGCAAATGACCTGCGGGAGCTGATATATCTGGGGCCCGCCGGTATAATTCCTGTTGCCATCCCCTTGAACCTTCGTCTGCCTTCCTGTTGCAACAGGCCTCGTTGTCCAGCAGCCCCGTCTGCCTTCCTAAAATCTAAGCAACAGGCGAAAAAAAGGCCCAGCAGCATGCCCCGGAACGGTGCGATGTCCGCCTGCATCACGAACGAGTAAGCAGAAGCAGACGCGACACTGGCCGCACGTTGCAGCACACAGCGACAGGCTTTCTCCACATGTTCGGTCTAATCTCTGTGCACCAGGGTGGAGCCGTCTGGGCTGTCGTCGCGGCCCACGGCCCTCGCTGTGAAACGCGGCGGCACAGACCCTCTCCGGCTCCTCAAAGGCGTGAAGACCATGACGAGTCTTGACTTTGGACTCGCAGGGGCAGGGCCAGGGGGGCGAGCGAGGCGAGCGAATAGGCGGGGAGAGGCACATGGGCTAGCCGCCACAGGATGCGGAATGGACGGCGCCTCCGGACTTGCTGCATTCACGACAGCACGTGTCGAAAGGATTTCCACTCCGAGTTCTTCCAGGAGCAACCTTCCGGCCACAACCGATCTTGCAGAGTCCGGAAGACTCCAGCGGCTTCGCATAGCCCGAAGTTACAGAATCCTTTGGCGGAGCCTTCTGGCAGAAGCGGTCGTGGGCCATTCCTAGGGCACAGCCCTTACAGCAAGTGGTGAGAGGCCGGCCCTTTGAGTCCACTCCAGGTGCGACCTTCAATCCACAACCGTTCTTGCAAAGACCCGGGCCGACCTTCGAGGCATCGATTCGTCCACAACGAAGGTCGTGGCCAAATCCCATGATGCAGCCACGACAGCATGTCGTGAATTGTCGGCCGGCTCGGGTAACGCCGGGAGCCACCCTGCGTCCACACCCGACTTTGCAGTAGCCTTCCGGCACCTCCAGCTCACCGCCATCCTCTTGAAGCTGTTGCAATCGCTTTTGCCAAGCGGCACCTCCCAGCTGCCCGATGCTTTCTTTGCGCATGCGCTCCTGTTCCTCGTCCATCCAGGAGAAGCCGAAGCCTTTCTGCTTGCACATGGCCTGGATCCGAGCACCCTCACTTGTTCCTCGATGCCGCGTGTGTGCCACCAAGCGCTCGACGTGCCTGCGGAGATCGACCTCCCCATGGATCTGGGCTTCCTTGTACTTCATCTTCCCCACCTTGTCCGAATCTCCCAGGAGGGCCGCATCCTTGGACGTGGCCACCTTGATGGTCTCTGAAAGCTCCGCTACATCGTACTGGAGCAGAACATGAGCATAAAAGTCCAGCACCGCCAGCTTGTCCCCCTTGAGATTTGCAGAATCTTCTGGCGAGAAAGTACATCGGAGCCGCACGTCCTTTAGAATGAGATACGAGTCACCATATTGCGAACACCTAACCACTCCCCGATGGTCGTTCATGACGTTCTGCACTCCATATTTCGGACGGTCTTTTCCAACACTCCCATCCTTGGAATGTTCACATCCAAGACTGCAACAAAACAACACGTGTCAAAGATCCAAGCACGCTTGGCACAAAGCGAGCCTTGCAAATGCACACGCCGAGTCTCGTAGGAACCACCGAACAAGTCCCTCTCCCATTTTTCCCGTGTGGCCGGCTTCAACAGCCCACCAGATGTGTTTGTCTCGAACTGGTTTCGGTAGTGAGTATCCTTTCACAGTCATCTGCAAGTAATGATGATCTTCACAAGTGGTATAGCTTTCAGCAGGTTTGTGCGGCCTGTTATTAGTCTCTCCTCGTCTCTGCAAGGAAATGCTTCACGCCTTTATACTGTGCCTTTCCTTCTCCATGAACGGGAGCATCTTATCCAGATTGACGTGAATGATGACCTGACGGGGGGCGTGATCCAACATGCCGACGGTACATCTGATCGACGAACCACTGGGCAGACGGGAAAAACGAAGTGCTTCGAATTCTTCGTTCCTGCTGGTGGGAAGGGGCATGCATGATGCAGTAGGGCACATTCCTCATGCAGGATGGAGTGAGTTACTTGTGGTGCATAGAATACTTCGAAACCGTGCTTCACCCGGCATGCTGCTCTGCCCAAAAGAAGCAAAAAAGCCAGGTGGCTGGGGCCAGCTCGCGAATCCAGGCCAAAGTCAGCCAAAGATCGTCTTCCTGAAAACGAAGACCTTGCTCATCAAATTGCACCACAATTTACTGGAAAATTGGCATGTACAAGACTACACTACGCCACACCGCCCTGCCTTTCACTACACTAGTACAGTACGCTGCTCTGCACCGCACTACATGGCATTACACTACATTACAATACATTACACTACACTACAACACATTACCGTAACCGCTAGTATCTGTTTCATCTTGAGCCATGCACGTGGAACATGCTTGACGAATGATTTGTATACGACTCATCGCGGCACAGTATACGACTCATAGGCGGCACATGGTCCTTCAAGAAATGTCGCGGACTGCTACGGAGCATCCCCCAACCTGTTTGGCGAAATGATGGATGTTGCTAACAGGTTCTGTTTCGTTCCGGCGGGAGGAAAAGCGCTAGCGGCCTGCTTTTGTAAAACCCGGTTGTGCTTGCTCTGGTTGGCCCCGTTCTGCAATTATTTGGCTCCCAGCTCCGCCCTACAGGTGGAAGCTCGCAGCAAGCAGCATGGCGATGGCGCCGATTTGCTTGTGCCTCCGCGATGCTTGGGGCATGCCATGTGAAACCCCATGAGCCCGACTATGGCTGCAGTGCACAGAAGGATTTCGTAGGTCGACATATTTCTACTTATATACTGCTGCACGAGGGAACTCCCGCTATACAAGTGCTGGTGGATCATGAAGTGGAGGAAGATCACCCGGATGGCCCCCTGTCAGGGTGGGCGGTCTATCTGATGGGTGCCATTCAGCACCAGGAGGGTGACACGCTGGTCATCTGCCCCGGGTATATACATACCCTGGCGCGACAAGCGACCTTTGTCGCTTACAATGCGAGTGGGGGTTGGACGCCACTGGGTACAGCACGCGTGTTGCCACGTCGTACGGACCGCTGCGATCCAAAATATTATGGGGCCCCATTATGACAGTCAATCTGCCTTCGGATTTCAGCAGTTTCCGGGGTCGGACGACCTGCCGTGGAAATTATGCTGGACCCAGCTATCGTCGCGTGCGACGTGTTGTGGCTGTATGCAGATACTGACCAGCTGCCAACATATGCGCACTCGCAGTACACCCTGCAGCTGATATTGAATCGCTGCCGATGGCAGGGCCGCAAAGGAGAGCGTCATGCTTGTGCTTTCTTCCCTATCTCCACGACCACGGGACTTAGTGACAATCCGGTTTGGTGGGGCAAAGTATATGCTTTATGGGTGGTCAGCACATCCTAGCGGACCATGACTCGACGCCTACGGCCTTCTTTGAGGTTGCGGACCTCCAGGAACTCTGTATCTCACATACTGTCACAACATGCGCCATGAAGGGGTCGCAACGCTTCACAACGGCTTTCCATTTCCCAGGTCAACAGCCCCCAGAATTGTAACCGCAAGCACATACGACACAGTACTTTCGACACGGAGCACTAGCATCCGTCTCATCTTGAGCCATGAAGCATACTTGAAGGATGATTTGCACGACTAATAGCGACACAGTATACGACTCACAGCGGCACATCGTCTTTCAAGAAATGTCACGGCCTGCTACATTATATTACATAATTCCTATGCATTCCAATACAATGCATGCAACACCATGCAACAGTTACAACTGTAGTTGCAATTAGCATGACAATGACAATTACAGTTGCAATACAAGACAATGCTAGTCGTCACAACACAATCAGGCACAGTACTTTACTTTACATTACATTACATTACATCACACTGCATTCCACCGTTCAACCCCATTCCCTTGCATTGCATTTCATTCTATGCCACTCTACTCCACCACATGGTATTGCAAAACATTACACGATGCTAGATTACATCACGTTGTCTTACATTGACATCAATATCTGTCGATGTGCCTTTACCTACGGAGTGCTCACACATGTGATACCGTATGTGCGTGTGTGTGTGTGTATGTGTGTAAGTGCATTAATAGATTTACTGTAGCATACACATACATGTATATATATATGTATGTATGTATGTATGTGTGTATGTACATATATAAATATACAGAGAGAGAGAGAGAGAGAGAGAGGTAGAGAGATAGCTCTCTCTCTCTCTCTATGTGTGTTTATTTATTTGTTTATTTATCTCTCTCCCTCACTCCGTATGTGTGCATGTGCGAAAGAGTATGTAGACATATGTGTATGCATTCATGCATGTGACTGCTTGTGTGCATACGGTTGTCTGCACATGTCTGCAGGTTGGGGATTGCCGTGCTTATAGTGCTATCGAGCAGCTGGTCACTCTCTTCTGCAGCTCTGGCAACGCCTGTTGGTGGTTCCTGAATTGTGAAGACCACTTGAACCCACCCAGGTCTTTGCAGCTGGTCAAGTCAAGCAACTTCTTTGCAAGGGCCCGGATGTGCTTTACGGCCTTCTGTTGACAGTCACCTGTTTGGGATACGGGTGTGCCCTTCTCAGCCCTCCAGCTCTCGTGCATGCGCGCCAATTTTGTGCAATGGGTTTGCTATGTGGGGCCAAGTCACGAAGCTTGGCCGCCTGTCAGGGAGAGCGAAATACCTAACCCCTACTAACCACATCAAGTCCAGAGCCAGCAGAAACTTTGAAGCTATCCGCTAGCCTCCTGGAATTCGGATTGCTGCCTCAAGGTCGTGGCAAAAGGAAAAACATCAATGCAGGGAAGAATCGCATTCATGACAGGAGGTGCTTGACGCGCCAAGACGCACGACCATTTTCCAGTAGGCTTGAGCTTCCCTGTCGATGCCTACCAGGCATCAACCCATGTTGACAAACGTGTCAAATGTGCGTGACTGGCAAAGACTGGCACCGGCAAGGGCAACAGAAATGCCTGCAGAAGTCAACTGGGCAGAGATCGCTTCCGTGTCGGCACTCTCATGGAGATCATAGCCCAGCCTTATCTTTCCGAGATTTTGGAAATCCGTCCAGTCCTAGCTTCGGCTGCCTGCTGGAGACATGAGAATGCGACTGCACACACCGGCACACAAATGCTGCCCACCATCTCACCCAGAAAGTCTGAAAAGACAGATGTTTCTCCCGTGCTGGGCTCTAAAATTAAATCTCGCAGGCGACTTCTGCTTGATGCGCTTCTGCCGCTCCTCAAAGAGTTTCCCGCTTCCACCCATCTTCCCAACCTGGCAGTCAAATATTGGCTGAAAGCTCTGGCAGGACTGACCCTCATGACGAGATACCCAGCAGGAACTCCGATAAAGTCAAATTGAATTCTGAGGCGTTTTGCAACTCAGGCACATACTCCTGAAACTCGTCGAAGGATATCTTTCCGCTGCCGTCCTCGCACAGGGAAGAACAGGAAATGAACAGAAACGAAAGGAGCAAAAAACTGCTTCGCATCCAAGATATCCAAGGCAAGCGGATGGCAAAACATGAGGAGCCCTTCATTGCGCCTTTCAGACGAGGAGCTCGTAAGAAGGATGGAATGGTTTCGTTCTCAATGGTGCAACAACCAGCATCCTTGATTCCCCCTTGCGAAAAGACAACTGCGGTTTGGTAGCTGGTTTGGGGCCGCGGGCTGTACCAGGGAGGTCGGACGATTGAATCCAAAATTGAGATCCTTCGTTAAGGATCCGTTGGACATACCAAACAAAGGACCCTCGGCAAACGCTCAATGGCCCAACCCAACAACTTTTGCTTGCATGATTTCCACTCTATGGAAGCACTGCAGCAAACATGGGCTTGCCACTCCAGCACGCGAGCTGGGGCTAACCGGTAGCGTCCGTATCGATCATCTTCAGTAGTCGGCGGATGTCTTCATCTTCCGAGGGGAACCCGAGGTAGCCTCCGCTCCGTGGAAACACGCGACGAGACTGAGACTCCCTCGGGCTCAAGGGGCCCGGATTCTTTTCCCAAAGTATACGCTCTCACAACTCGGACAAGCCAGGCGAGGGTTTAGGGTTTAGGGTTTGGATGAAATAATGATCTGGATTCAATCCGTATGCCCTGACAGACCCTCACATGCTTCCGTCCTACAGGTCAGGAGTCGGAACCGGAACTGCTCACTCCGTGAACTGCCGTTTTAATTTAACAGTCCCTCCCAGCTTAGCTGCTGCCACGGCACGGTTCATGCTCTTTAAGTCATTTTTCCTCAGCTACCATGCCAAGAAACTGCATCTGAAGCGGCGAGGAGAATTTCTGCACGATCCTGCCTGTTCAACGACTGCCCACATTCCCTCCCGCTTCGCCGCTTGAGATAGCTGCATCCGACTGTCGGCGTCTCCCTGCTGGAGCTTCGAGTGACAGTGCTCAGCACGACCAACTGGATGTTAGCCGAAAAATGAAACGGATATCTCGTGAGCTTGAAGCTGTTCAAATCCAATTATGCTTCCTCGCGCTGCTCGATACAGTTGTGGGGCATCTCGACGCGTGTGCCGGGGCTGGGGGAAGAAGACAATTTTTCCGCACTGATGCGAGAAGCTGATAGAAGCTGACTATTTTTCCGATTTTCCTGCAGTCACAAAAGCGTTACGAGGTACTACAGCTGTCATTCTATCCGTGCATCCAGGCAATCCGGTTCTGGATCTGGCCTTCAATTTTAGGTCTCATTCTGGCCGCACAGAAACAGATGCAAACACACGGAATCATGAAACAAGGCTCCGACAGACCATGTTGGTTGGTCGCCGTGCCCTTCTATGTGTTCTTGCAAGCTTGCAAGCATACTCAGAGTACTTGGTCTTGCTCCCGGTGCATGTTTGTGATGACTGCTTTTTGCATCTGGTTTGCAGCGACTCAACCAGGACAGAAACAAAAGGCACACCCGAAGCCCACAGCTTTAAGCTAGAAACCTTCGGACTCGCGCCAACCATGTATCTG